AATACATGAATTATGACATAAGATTTGGACTTTATTGCACATTTTGGAGTCTTGCTGAAATGATTGTAATGGACCAACATATCTCTCAAAATGAGACAGGGGCTTGAGCATGGCTCCAGCCAGGAATGCTCGATCCCTAGCCAAAGACTGCTTTCACAAGGTAACTGATTTTCAGTCAGTGACTGGATACGTCCTTGGAATAGCAGTGATGTCTGTCATAAGTACAGGCAGCCCTTTGTATGGATATAGGCAAGCCAGTTCTGGAAAAATGAAGGATGCTATTGTTTTTGCAGCACAATGACACCAAATTAGAATTCTAGCAGACAGAGCTTACAGAGTTGACTAGCAATTCTCAACTAGGACACATTATTTTTTTAAAGACAGGGGTGTGTAACTGCCCAAGCATGAAGGCACAAAGATCAAGCTTGCTCTAACACAGATGTATTTATTTTTTTCACCTGGCTCCCTGGCAGCAGAAAGACTTCAGAATATGCATTCTTAAGTGAGAGGTAAGTACTCATGGAAAGGGCAGGAAAGAAGGAGGGAAGAAAGGTTGGTGTCTTGAGTCCTGAGCAGTGAGTGCTACAGGAATACTTCTAGTGATAATGCAAGTCTAATCTATGCTGTTGGATTTCTGAGCTTGCCAGGAGAATATAACAACATAAGGTGTCCTTGAACCAGGTCAGTATTGATGTGCCTCGTGGCTTCTTTACAGATTCAGCTTTGGAAACATTCTATGTAACAGAGGCTGAGCTTCAAGGCCTTGCCCCTTTTCTTGAATTTGGTCTCGTAGATGCTGGATTTCAAGCAGCTGCATTTCTATGATTTTCTCATTTTCCTTCTGTGCATTCAACCTTAGTACAGATGGGCTTGACAGCATTTCACTGGAGGGAGCTAGAAGATAAAACAGAGAGGACAGAGTAAAGGTCTAGCTCACAATTGTTGGCAATAAGCAAAGAAAGACACCTTTCAGGACTGAAGGAGTACAGCTAAACAGTAACATTTTGCAGTGTTCACCACAACAATGCTATAGGTACTGTCAGGCAGACAAACTGGAACAATACAGAGATAATAACAGAATTGTTCATTAAGGTCAAAGAGGGCTTGTGGAATAAGCTCTGACAGCATGCAGACACAAACGAAGCATTACTCACCCGTGTCTTGAATTGCTTGTTTTTTCTTAGTTAATCTTAGTGCTGACTGGAGGTCATGTACCTGGGTATGAGCCACTGTCAGTTCTTGTCTCAAGTCATTAATTTCCCTAATCAGACTCACATTTTCCTGCAAAAGCAATATACTCTATGAGGAAAAGCACAGGTACTAGCTGGTTCAGCAACATGTCCTTGGGAAGGAAACTGGACAGTGTAAAGTCAGTGTAACAAGCAGAAGATACTGTATGCTTGTGGAGCTAGAGCAATCAGTACGTCACATATTTCAGATAAGGCTATAGTAGATCTGAAATAAAATAAAAATGACACAATCACGTAAGCTCAAGAAGCTAATATTTGTTTTGCTTTTCTGACTGCAGCTGCTTTCTGAGACATCATCTTCATTGCAGTTCCACAGAGAAGCTCGAGAATGCTCTAGGATTTATCTAATTAATGCAGAATTAAGATGTACAATTCCCATTTCTCCCTTCAGTCTGCATTATTTTGCTTTTCACTTTTACACCACGTATCTATTCACTTAAATTATCATTAGCTCCTTGCTGATCTTCAAAGACCTTTTCATTAGTTCTGACTGACATCATCTATATACTTAGCCCAGAATTTGATGCTGCTATCAGTTGTTACTGTTGACTTCTTAGCAAAATACACAGTATTCTGTGTGAGGTAATTCCAGCTACTTCGAAATGTCTTGTTTGGTTTATTGGGTGCTAAAGAGGCTGTTGGTTAACACTGGTAATGTCCTTCTGAAGAGGCAGGCTATCCAGACAGATTTAGCTTTTAATTCAATCTTTGCATTCTAACTGGAAGGATTGCACTGCATCAAAACGATCATGCGGTGGATTAAAATAAATGCTCATTGCAAAACTTTGTCATAGGATGTTGCAGCAAAGTAAAAATTGTTTCAGAAAAGGGACTGATCAAGTGCATGGAGGATGAGACCAACAGAAACAACTGCATATGATATTCGGACACAAACTACAGCCTAGTGAGTCCCTGCAGTGCTGACTGTCAGAGACAGGGATGACACCATGATGGAAAAAATGATCCTACAAATACTTCAGTTCAAGCAGTGTTACTTCAAGATTTTTCAGTATTTCTATTCTTGTGTATCCATGTGATCAAAGAAGTCATTACAAATACAGGAGGTTGGAGGGAAAACTAGCAGTGCAAGAACAAGCAACTGTCAATTGGTAAGAACAATTAAAATTATCTTGGCAGTTCTAATCATCTGTTGCGGCAGTTATGAATGGAATATGCCTATGAACAGTCACTCAAAGAGGAATGCACAGCTCTGAAAATGTAAGCATGACTGAAGAATACTAGAAATACAGAGCTAGAAGGCCATCAGGATGTCATTTACTTGTTCAAAGCAAGCTCTGACAAAAGTTTGTCTAAACTAGATTTAAAAGTCTCCTGTGTGGACTGGAAGACCATGATAATTCCTCCTGGCTGTAAAGTCTCATTAATCTACTAGACTTCAGAGAACTGCTTTTTCTTTAAAGAAACCAAGCTGATTAGAACCTTTGATATCTTCATCTTCCAGATGTTTTATTAATTTAGTTTTAATCATCATTTCATGTTAGGCTTACTGGTCCAAGACATTGAGTATTATCATTATAAGCACCATCTGTCACCTTATTCCTGCAGGAAAATTCTTCAGGTTCTTTTCTGAAGCCACCCTGTTTTGTGCCAAAAGGAAACATCAAATTCACAGGAGTGAAAAAAATAATAATAATAAGGCCAAGGAAGAAGACTGCTGCTGCACGGACCTGAAGAGGCACTATGGATAAATAACAATATGCAAATGACTTTGGTGAGGACTAAGGTCTAGCGATCCTGAGGAAGCGTAATAGAGTAACAATGAAGAAAAGTGAGGGGAAAAGGAAATGCTGACTGAGCAGAAGGAGATTATGGTAAGAAGAGACTGTGAAAGTGTTGTCCTCCCAGGATGTTCGTTGTGGGGCTCCATATCCTCCCATTTCCAGATGAAAACAAACTGGATCTTTGGCTTCAGCCCTCATAAGTTTATCTTGCTTCGTGAGGAACAAGGATTCTGAGCAAGAGATCCTGATATGAATTGGAATAATAACTGTGTGTTTCTGAGCTTCCTTGGAACATCTGGATGAGAACAGCTGAAAGCCCTTCTGAATTCAGACCAGTAGGAATGGACTTGTATGACAAAATAAAGTCAGTATTTTTTCTTTCTCCAAAATTACTTCCTAAACAGTGCCACATAGTAAGTGCAGCTTGGTTCTAAGGTGCAAATTGACAGTAGCAGCAATTAAAAATACTGTTCGAAATAAAGTAAGTCCATTAATTACTTTAAAAAAAATCAGGTAGCAGAGATGCTCTATGCAGCAAAAATGCTAAGTCACAGCCTGAAACAGTGATTGAGCACCTGGTGGGAAGGCAGGGCCAACCCAGGGGAGCTCAGGTGCATGCAATTAACCAGAAGGGGTGAAGCCAGGATCCACTCCTTACCAGATCTCATTTAAGGGTGAAAGTACCTCTGTGGAGATCCCTACCTACTGGAGGCCTTTCAAAGGTAAGCAGTTTTTCTTCTTTTGCTTCTGTGCCCATGGCTGCATTTGGGCTTCTTCACATTTGCTGCAGCCTAGAATTGTGCCATCCTGCTATTATCACTGTACTTTCTATGACGTTATAGCATTATATCCTATCCCCTTTAAAAGTGGGAAATGGCAGACAAACAAAAATATCTGCAAAACAGCAGCAATTTCTGGCACTGGAGATCTTGCTCTTTCCATCCAGAAAATTGTAGGCCATTAGTAGCTCAGTGAAGATTGTCCTTGAATAGAAACACTTGAAAGCCCTAGTAGCTCCTGGCAAGGAAGCAAACCAAAACTGTTTTAAAGTTCTAAGAATTAATGGCAGTATGGTGATTGAGGTCTCTTTTGTGCAACTTCTTCCCTATAACAAAAGGAAAGGCTTGTTACCTGCATGATGTGCGTGTAAGCAGCTTGGTGGATTTTCTGATCCTTCACCACTCTCTTTTTTAGAGCTGCTAAATTCCTCTCAAGATATTCTCTTTGTCTCATGTACTCCTGCTGCAAATCTGTGTCTACCTCTTCCATCTCTACCTGAGAGAGCACAAAGTTTTGCCTCAGTAAATACACTATCATAGATACTCATCTGCAAAGAGAAGGCAAAGTCTCTAACTCACCATTTCCAATTGCTGCACATACTTGGTGTAGAGCTCACGGATCCCAACCTTCAGTTTTTTATAATCCTGAATGAAGCCCACACAATTATGAAGATCCATTTTAAATCGTTTGATGAGAGCTTCCATATTTTGCTTCTGTAATGGTAATACAGATATATCACAGTAGGCTCTGACACGTTCAATCTTCTAGAAAATCTAGCAGAAAAGGTGAAAGTAATATATACTTAAACTTAGTTGTTTAAAAATACTTTATTAAAAACAGCTGCCTCACTGTGCTGTTAAATCTGGGAGAATGTGTTGCTTGAACCTGGGTATAAATAACTGAATTTTTTTAGTATCAACTTGTTAGTTTGGTTGCAGACTTAGAAGTTTTCTGCCTTGTCCCCCAATTTATAGACTCTCCTGTTTCCTCGGCTTTGTACACAGCACCCCCACAGGACCTCTTTGGTCACATTAATGCTTCTGCAGTGTTACACCCCCACAAACTTCATTATCCAGGACTGTGGATCAATGGGACCACTGGTCAGTGGCTGCACCCCATACCTTCTGCCTCTCTTTGTGCAACTCCTTATCGGTTGCTTTTAATTTTTGTTGCAATTGTGTGATATTTAGTTTCAACTGTGCGTTCTCCCTGTGGAGTTGTTCCAGTTCCCTCTCCATCTGAAAGGAAGCAGAGGGAGGACATTAAGATTAAGTGGAGACATTGTGAAAAAAACAACACGTAATGGGAAAAATCAGGGGCTGGAAATACAGACTTGAGGGAGGAGATCCCCCTTCAGGTTGAATTGCGTACAACATAAAACAAATCAATTTTGGAACAACACTGCCCTCTGCCAGAATACAGAGAAAAGAGGAAAAAATGGATATACAGCTCCCTGTCAAATTACAGATTTAAGTGATATGATGACTATTGATTTCCTTGAGTTGGGCTAAGGCTGTACTGTTCTATCTGAATAAAAACGAGTTAGGTGAAAATTATCAATACCGGAAACAGTAAGTGCAACAAGAAGAACCATATGATACTGAAAAGAAACAAATGCATGAAAAACTGTAGAAAAATTGGCCAAAAAAAGCACCTAAGGGTGCTACAGCACTTACTAACATGAGAATATGACCAGAAGAGAGGATAGAGCTTTCCTTGTGCTAGTGTATGTGCTAGACATGCACATAAGATATTCATTAGCTTATATTTATTTAAAAGGCTTTCATTCTGAATAAATAGGTGTATGAAACCAAACAGGTCAGTGATTAGCAGTGGATAAGGTTATATCATGAATAAGTTGCCTAAGTGAACTTGCTGCAAGCTAATTATGAACACATGGGAAGTTTCCATGGATTAGTTGATTGATCTAATTCCTGAATTTGGTTTTCTTTGCATAAGTCTGCAACTTTTTGAGAGGAATTCTCTCCCTCTTCCTCCAGATCAGCAAAGGCAGTGTCTTGCAAACTCTACAAGGTATGTGCAGGGCAACTATATAAAAATGACATTTATTTTTAAGCAAACATTATATTACTCAATTTTGAATAAAACACTGAAACAGGAACTTACCAGGATTGGTCACTGGCAGCACACGATGTAAAATTAAATACATATTGTGTCAAAGTATTTTTATTAGCTGCAAAGCTATTGAACCAATGTTTATGTGTCTTAGAAAGAAGTTCAGGGAACAAACAGAGGGTTTCCATGAGACTGGCCTGGTGATCCTCATATCCAGCCGAAGGGTTCAGTAGCAGAGGCCTAATTATGGTGTTACTCACCTCGTGGATCTGCTCCTTCATTATTTTGATATCGTTTTCACGTGATTCTATTTGCTTTCTAAACTGCTCTATTCTGTGATCCAGTACAAACTTGAACTTTTCCAATTCCTGGTTTTTCTTCTTTAGGTCATATATATGCTTCTCCTGGGAGAAATACATACAGGAACTTGAATCAGACCCAGTGCTCTCAAAGATCCTTAAGGTGAGGTGTGAATACAGCATGGGCAAAAACAGCAGTCACATATCTAGAGGAAGTCTAGACTTTAGTCACAAATCTCACTCGTACTGGGTGGGAAGCAAGGGGGGAAATAATGCAGAGATTACGGATAATCCTACAAACTCAGGAATGGGGGATGAGAAATTCAACACCCTATATTGAGTTTCTGAAGGAAAGCTTAAAACATTAAGGTCCCAAACTAAAGACTTTGCAAGTTCTTGAAGTTAAAACTGAGTTTCCTGCACATTATGTTAACACAGCACCATACTACTAAAATAATTTGTAGTAAATTAAGGGAGGGAGACAATGATCTCAGCCAATTGTCCAGTTTCTCACCTTTTCCTGAATAGTGTTAGTTCTCTTTTCGATATTTGTGTTCAGCATTGAGATGTCCTTCTCCAACGACTTAATTATACCTTCCAGATTCTGCTGTTCCAGTTTCATGTCCTCAATGTCACTGTTTCGTTCTTTGAGCTCCTTCTGTAGGCTGTTCAACTAGAGAGGCAAACAAGGAAGAACTTGCAAGTTGTTCATCTCTTAATCATCATACTCTCTAAGATACCTTGTAGACACTGCAGGATAAAGGGTATCAGATTAACAGATAAAAGCACTTTAATACCATTTTATGAAAGACATTTAATGTTCTGAACCATCTAGAAAAAGTAAACAACTGAAGGACAGATGGACATATTGTTGGGAAAACAGTGAGAATGAAGATGGGCTTTGAGAAATCATAGAGGCACATTTCACTAAGAGATGAAGTTACAAACCATGTGCAGAGAAATCAATCTTGGCAGATGTTCTTTGAAAGCAAGAAGGAGGTGAGAAGAGCAGACAAAGATTCACACATAAAAAAGAACAAAGCAGCTCCAATTTCATGTTGATTAGGAGAAAGTAGTTGCAAACTAATTAGCTTGATTGAAATTGATATCTGAAATGGTTGAGAAATCTCTGTAATATTGACCCATAATAGTCTGAATCTTGAAAGCAATGATAAAATGAGTTGTCTGACAGTGAGGAACTGGCATTCAGAAGCAGGAAGTGTGAGGATATTATGCCTAAGTGTCAGCTTCAAATAACATTCAAGTCATGGAAAATTACTTTCAGCCTCCCTGATCATTGGTCATACATGTCTAATGATGACAAAAGTAGGCTGATAGGTGCCTGATTCATATTCTTGAAATCCTTGCAAAGCCAAGAGGTCAGAAGTGGGAAATGGTGCTGGAGAAATGTGAACACCCACAAAGGTATTCCCAGTGTCTAAAAGGCATAAGAAGTGACTCGCAGTACCAAGATAAAAGATGTTATGCAGTCAGAGAACCTCTGTATCTTTAGGAAAATGTAATTTCCAGCTAGTCAAAGAGCCAAAGTTTCTATGCCTACTTCAAAACCTTAGAGTAAGAACAGTAAAAAATGTTGATACGTACAAAACATAACGTGTACAGCATTAAAAGAAGCAATACAAGTGTTTTTCTAATATAGTAACATATCAGATCTTGGAAAAATTTAAAAGTTCATTTGTTTCCCATCATAGGATGAACAATGTTATTGTTTATGATTTCAAACTACGACAGTCAAAGGAAGTGTACTGATAGAGCAGGTGTGCTGTTATCATCCATCTCTAAGGATATCAGCATTCAGCCAGCACACAGCTTCTTCTGATCAAATATTCTGAAATATTCAGACGGATATAAAAAGGAGCAACTGTTCTCATATGGAAATCTAAATATTTACAAAATATGTTAATTGGTCTTCACACATCATTAAACACATTCAGTCCCTGGCACCAGGTCTCCATGTGCAGACACGATCCTATCACAGATAAGAGATACCCTTTTATTCATGACTCCTATTTCTCCTTTCAGTTGCAGATTTGACTCCTTTTCTTCTGCAAGCCGTCTCTCGTATTTAATTTTGATATCCTGGATTTCTCGGTCTTCATCTTCCTCAATCTGTTTCTTAATTTCTTCGTGTGCTTGAAGCTGCTGCCTCATATCCTCCTCTGCCTGCAGTTAGGAAAAGCAAACGTTAGAGAAGGTAACAATAGATGGCCAATAAGGAAGAGGAGAATTCTTTATCTGTAATGTATTTCTCCTGGGAGGGCTTGTACTTAGTGGACTCTTCAGCGTCAATTGCAGCAATAGCATTTAAGCTAACAAGTTCTAAGGGGATTAAAGTCACTTTAAAAACTGTTAAGATAAACACCAAAAAATCTTCTTAAGGCTTAGATGCTTAACGTTGTCTACAAAATAAATCAAAAATGTCTATGTCTGAAAACCTAGCCAAACTTGCAAACTTGTTCTCACAACAGCAAATGCAAGCCTAAGTAACTCTTGATAAGACCTTTCTAAATTGCTGTTCCTGCTGCATTAAGGACAATAAACACTCAGCTTTGCATCAGTCTCTGTATTACTTTCTTCTCACCTTCTTTCCAGACACTCTTTCCAAGTTGGTGTTGCAACACAGGGATGCAAGTAGTAACACTTAAGGGATTTATTGGCATTATTATATCAGCATCAGTCATCTGACTGCCCTATTTGGCTGAATCTTTGACCTCCAGGTGCTGGAGTTTCACTTAAGTACTCCGGGTATTACTTTTTCCTGCTCAAACTATGAAAGCAGGAGCCTCGGGGACTTGGTGACATTGGTGATTTCAGTAAGCAGGAGAATCCACCAGTTTAGAAATGTTATCTCTTCACTAGAACAAGGTGATTTAATCTTTATCCAACAGCAGTAACTTCTAACCCACATTAATAAGAAGGAATTCCTGGATGTAGGAAACAGAAGCAAAGCTGAGAATATCCAAGGACATTCTTCTCAGCAGATTACTGAATGTATGAAGTCCAAAAAAGCTGGTAATTCAGTTAGGGCTTTCCTCGTTACTGTTCTGTTGATATATACATATCTACCTTCCCCCCCCCTCCCCCCCCCAAAGGTTAAAGGCAGGTTAGGAATTGTGTGGAGAGTGCCAACTTTCCCTCCTCTAGGAAATATTTCGTCACAGCTGGAAAGAAAAATACTCAACAATTCAAACAACCAATCAGGCTTCGTACCTCTTCCAACAGAAGAGATTTCTCATTAAGTTTCTCCTCATAATAATCTGTTAGCTCTTCTAGAGCCCTGTTTTTGCTTTCCTGCAAATTATGCAGTTGTTTCTCATATTCCTCTTGCATCCTTTGGGAGTTTACTTGCAGCTCCTGGTATTTCTCATTTTCCATCAACAGTTTCTGGTTACTGTCAGATTCTGGAAACAGGAAACATATGGAACTGATAAAACTCATAGAAAAGAGAGGCATATCCTATCCTTCTACTATTATCAATGTCTTATTTTCTACTGTCTTTTTGGCAGCTGGTTTCAGTAAATTACACTACAAGCAACTTGTTGCTTTCCTTGTTAGATATGCAGGGGTTTTAGGCTCTATGGCCATACAAAATTCTACATCAGAAAATCATCCCTTGGGTTTCCTGCTCTTCTTCTTACTGTTTATCACTTCACTAATAAAGCTCTAAAATTGCCTTTCTCAGTTGGGCTTCTGAATATTCGGTTGTATCCCTGCAGAATGCAACAGAAAAAAATGTTTCAGCTTGAGTAAATCCAAGCCTGCACCAAAATCCCCTAGTCTACCATTACAAAAAATCAATAGCAGTCAATCTAGGCATTCCCCTGAGAATGCCAGCCATGACAGAAACGTATAAGCACAACTGTTACGGAGTGGACTTCATATTTGGTATTAATGTGCTGTATTTCTGTTTTGTCTTGATTAAGAGTCTGGGATCCAGGTATTTCCATGTTGTACACACTGTACACTAATTAGCCTGGTTGTTGAGCAGTAAAGCAATCACAAGTCTTGTACAGTGAGGAAATTACTGATCTCAGAAACAGAACATCCAAGATAAAATGCCCACGTGCACATTCTTCTGGTCACGAGTGCAGTTTAGACAAACTTTTGTTCTACTCTGCCTATATGACACACGTGCCTTTTTTCCTTTTACCCTGCACTCTGATAATCCCTGCTCATCACATTACTTGCAGGTCCAAATTCTTTGTGTTCTTGCACATGGTGATAAACGCATTCACAACATAATCTGATGCATTTCCTGAAGATTCTAGTGACAAACGCTTGTTGCAGTCTAACCTAGGTCTCGCATCTCCTTGGCATGTTTATTCATCAGCTCAGACACTTGAAGCTGGTGTTGCATTTCCTGATCGTCTTTCTCTGCCTGTAAAATCTGGGAGAAAAAAAAAACAAAAACAAAAACATAAACAAAAAAAACCCTCAAAAGCTTAAAAATAAGCAAAGCAGTCTAAATCCTTTGTATTTTTGCCAAGGGTGGAGAACACACACACAACAGAATGATGTTTGAAATCTCTCACTAGAAAAGCACGCCATGTAGTATTAAGCTGGGTTGTCCCAGAGATTCACCATGAAAAATTACAATACTAAGGAAAGCTGAAGAAGAGTTGCAATGGAGTTGATATAATATGGGGCACTGTATAATCCTAAGCTAACAAGAAAAGTTTGTGAGTCACAAAAGCATCCACTTTTCTGTGTGTGCCTGCTTGAGGAAAATACGTAGTTCTGCAAATTGTTGTGCAGATACCAAAATCCAAGCTGCTCTCTTGGAGCAACTTTGAAGCCCTAGAGCACTGACATTTGCATGGAATGACAAAACTAGGCAAAAGCAAGGTTTGAATGCCGTTTGCTTGCATGTTCTACTACCACTGCAAACTACTTCATCTTCTAAAAAGACACCACCGAAAAAGATGAGTGAGAAAATTCCCAGAAAATTCGGAGGGAGCCACCACAGGTTAATACATACTGATCCTCACAGAGGAAGTACAACTTGCCTGAGTGGAACTTTTATTCACCTTCAAAAGCATTTGCTTGCAAGCCTATAATCAACCAGCCTAAAGAAGTTTCAGTGTAGCTAAGATAACAACAATTCTGAAAAGACCTAAAGAAATGCAGATGAAAATTGGCACAGGTAAAATTCAGTTAAAGGAATGAATACATAAGATGTGAACAGGTGACCTTCTTAAAGGTTAAGCTATTAAAAATGAGGAAAAGTAGAGAAGTTTAAACTCAGGCTATTTAAATGCAAAAGAACAATGAGAAAAGTATGAGAGCCTAAGGAACAACTCAAGGAAAACTTCAAAATCAGTAACTAAATTTCTCAAAAAAATCAAGATCAGAAACTCATCAGAACACTGGCAGAGCCAACAGACAAGAGAGTTATAAAAGAAACACTTTTATAACAAGGCCATAGAATAACTAAAGTGATAAGTACCTCAGCAAGCTTTCTGTCTGGAATCTTACTTTATGTGGAGACAAACTGAAATACTTTCTGAAGGGACTATGTACAACTCAACAAAATAAATGCTAGCAAATCACGAGGATTGGATAATATTTATTGTAAAATGTATTACTGAAAATAATAGAATTGAATCATGGCATATATGGTATGTGATCTCTCACCTCAAGCCATTTGACTGACAGTGAAATTGCTATTGCATCATCTCCATTCTAACTCTAAATGGGGTCCTGAAAATTACAGATCAACCATGTGGTGTATGCACTGGATAGACAGAACAGAATTAGCAGGCACATATAAGAAAGACACTGGGAGAAATTATTGTGGCTTTTGTCTTTTAGCGAAGCTCTCTCTCGTGACCACAGAGAAACCAATATATGAAACAAACCAAGTATATGAACAGGAGAAATCCAGAGGATACAGTTTAATTCTGTTTTCAAAAAGCATACAAGACACATCACTGAGTATTTTTAAAAGTGCTAGGCAACCAAAGCATAAAGAATAAGGCAGTAAAATGAACAACCGTAGGAGGTGCAAGTTGCATGCGATAGAGCTTTTAAGGCACAGTCCCATTTCTACCCACAGATGATAGATCTTACTGATCCTTGGATGCAAGCAGAAGTTATTGCTGAAACTGTTCTCTCCCAGGTAGCCTCTTGCTTCCCCTCAGTACTTACAAGATAGTTGACTCAAATAATAGGTTCATGCTTTACAAATATCAGGAACACCTTTGTTGGAACGGAATGTTGCATTCTTCAGATGCCTCGTGGCATTCATACATACATAATGCAAGCTTGAATTTAACTCAAAAGGGAAAGACTTAGTATTTGGCACTGCAGTATGAATCATACCTGGTGTTTGTTTTTAAGGGATTCTAGCTCCTGAGTGAAAGTCTCTTCTAATTCCTTTATTTTTTCATGACAACTCATGTCCTTGAGACGTAACTGGTAATCGTTTTCTGTCTGTAGCTCTGACACACGAATTTGCAGGTCTAGTATTGCCCGATTCTATTAGGACATGGATGAGAAGATACTTTTAACAGAGAGATTATTTGCCATTAGCAACAGTTTGTTAAGGATGCTTTAACTATTTCTGAAAGACAGCCTTAGAGAATTTTCACCAAGACAGACTATTAAGTTTCAGAAGCAATTTCCTTTGTTATTTTACAAGACGGTATATAAAAAAGCAGCTGATTCTCCACCACATTAAAACTGTCTACAAGTGACTGGAGAAGGTATTAGAGAAATGTCAAAACTCTTTTCTACATTTGCTGTTCATACAGTGCTGTTTGCATGTTAACGCTCAGCTACTTGCTGTAACCTCCTCTTGCAAAGAAAGCCATGCAAGTTCTCTTGACAAAGGGCCATACAGGCGCACTTAGTCACAAACATCTTGCAAATGTGATTCACAAACTGCAAACTAGGAATCTTATGGTTCATATGCATAGGTTGCTCCTCCTACCTTCTCCTCTATATCGGATTTCATGATCAACACCTCCTCAGCATATTCAAATTCCTTTTCCCTTTTCAGTGTCATTCCCTTCTTACTATATACTTTCCAGAAGAATATAGAGCCATCCTCTGAGGCGGTCAGCAAAAATAGGTCATCATTTGATACTGAGATCTTAGAAAGAAGAGACAGTGGAATGATAACAGAGACGAGGAAGAACAGCGACATTGATCTTACATCACATTTTGCTTCCCACCCGCTTATTCCCTGTTGTTTCTACCACAGCCTGCAGTGGAAGTATTAACATAGCCCAACATCCTCTACTCCTGCTCCAGCCAGGTCCAGAAAACATTGGAAGGCAATGAAGATCCAGAGGAACTTGTGAAGACACTGGATCCACTTCTGTTCCCTAAGCTGTAGGAAGATTTAAAAAACCTGGAACAGACAAGACTTTCTAGATAGTCATAGCACAGACAGGCAATTCATATCAAAATTCCAAAGGTCCTAAGCCTCTTTTCTCTGAGCAGTTGTTTGAGCAACAGATAGTTAAATCTTTCTCTTGAATTTGCATTAAAAACTCACTGAGAAATATCTAGTAATAACTGCAGTCATCTGTTGCAGACCTCCTCTGACTGCATAGCTTGGCATAGAGTACCTGGGAGCTGACACAGCTTGTGAGTGAAGTGAAAGTATGGTTCTAGTAATTGCCTAGTATGTAGCCTACTGTTGGACTGTGCAGCTCCAAGTCAAGGTGCTGTATTTGACAGTGATATTTAAAACACCAAAATCATCAGCAGTTTTAAGAAAGCAGAACACACGGGTTCCCAAAAGTGTACTGAAATATTTCATGGTTGGAACTTCCACTCACCATGTCCCCATCTTTCATAGATTCTTCAATAGCCTTCTAGAAACACTACAGTTATCAGACTGGGCATTGCAATCTCTTGTTTACCCTGGCAGCAAATCATTTAATGCATGTATCTCATTCCTCCTTCCATTCTCACAACAGATCTCCAAGCCCTCATAGTTTTATCTTCCTCTTTCCAGAAAAAGATATAACAAAGTTCTCCATCAGGAATATGCCTTGTTGTGTGTCCTGGTGCAAGGCACTGAGGATTACTT